CTTCTTTAGACAATTTTAGCTTCGATGCGAAGCTGAGAAGGTATTGGTTTTACTAAGATGTGTTTTTTTTTTTTTTGTGTCTGTTACCACTTTTTCTCAGCTCTCACCGAACCGATTTCTTTCAATGATACGTCAAAAGATCACAAATTGTATCTAGTCGAAGCCATTACCCTCAAAAATTGAAAAAAATTCCCTCGTTCCCCGTAAATGGGGGAAACTTCCAAAAAAATTACAAATTTAAAATCGCTAATTTTCGAAATTTCTTTAATTTTATTTACTTAAAACTACCATAACTTTTTCAAAAATGAACATTTCAATATAATTCTTTTTTATATAGATGCATAATATTATTACCTTTCATTTGGTATATTTTTCTCATAAATTTAACCCTTAACCTGCCCACAAGGGGGATTTAAAATGACAACTTTTTCACAAAAAATTAACTTTTTCAACTTAACTTTTGAAAATGTTCCGGAAGGTCTGACACTTTTATATATATCTTAAATTAAAGCTAATGTAATTTACTTTACTATGAAAAAAAAAGATTTCGGACTTTATTTCATCTTCATGGTGAAAATGGCTACCGAATGCTATTTTTGTATGAAAATTTTCGATTTTGTATTTTACATTTTTAATTTTATTATGCTATAACTTTTTGAAAAATGTATGAATCATTACAATTTTTTTATGAGAAGTAGTATTTATATAGATCTTTCATTCGACATANCCATGAGAAGTAGTATTTATATACATCTTTTATTCGACATACCGTTTTTTTAAATCGGACCATTTTCTTATATTTGAGGGGGGTTCAAATCTAAAAAATGCATATAGAAAGTAGAACTTTTTCAACTTAACTTTTGAAAGTGTTCCGGAAAGTCTGATACTTCTATATATATCTTAAATTAAAGCTAATGTAATGTACTTTATTATGGTAAAAAAAAATTTCGGACTTTATTTTGTCTTCATGGTGAAAATGACTACCGAATGCTATTTTTGTGTGAAAATACTCGATTTTGTATTTTACATTTTTAACTTTATAATGCTATGACATATTGAAAAATGTATGAATCATTACAATTTTTTTATGAGAAGTAGTATTTATATAGATCTTTCATTCGNATTCAGATTCCGCAAAGCTTTGTCGAACTCTTTTCTCATAATTGGGTCTATCTCGTCATCTTCTTCAGATTTATCTTCTTCGTTTGATTCGTTAGTTTCATTTTCCTCAAGTCTGTCCCCCTTATACAGGATTTCTAGATATTCTTTCCATCTTTTCGCTATATCATTTTGTTCATATAGCATTCTTCCGTTGTTATCTTCCATTCCCTCTGCTCGGGGCTTATGTTGACCAAAAAACATTTTCACCATTTTATATGCTTCATCACTACTTCCTGTCTGTATGAGGGTTTCTATTTCATTACACTTTTATTCCAAATATTTTTCTTTGGCTTCCCTCGATTTCCTAATGATTAGATTACTCAGTACTCTGTATTTTTCCTATCCACCTATAGTGTTCAAACTCTTGTATTTCCTTCTTTCCTCTATCATGTTGACTATTTCCGTTGTAATCCATTCCTTTCTTGCTGCATTGTTGCTATTTCCTAGAGTTTTCGTTGCAGCCATTGTAATTGTATCTTTCAAGTTCTGCCATCTTTCTTTAATATTTTGGGATTCTTCAATAATTAGTGTCTTCACTATATTTTTTGCTTATTTTCTCGTCTCTCAGATTTTTAATTTTCCATTGCACTATTTTCTTCTTTTTATCCATTATTCTTTTAAATTTAAGTTCGCATTTCATCATTACTAGATTGTGATCGCTATCTATATCCGCTCCTGGGTAACTTCTACTTTCCTTTACTTGATTTTTAAATCTGTTCTTAACCATGATGTAAACTATTTGGTATCTATTTATGTCTCCTGGCATTTTCCACGTGCATCTTCTTCTTCGATGGTGATCGAAGCAAGTGTTTGTGATTATTAAGTTATGTTTTGCACAAAATTCTAATAAGTGTTCTCCTCTTACATTTCGCGTTCCCAACCCAAAGGTACCTGTTACATTATTTACTTTTTCTTCCCCTACTACGGCATTCCAATTACCCATTACTACCGGATTCTCTTCCCCTTTAACATTTTCGATTATTTTATCTATATTTTCGTATACTTCTTCTACCTCTTCATCGTTACTATTTGATGTCGGCATATAGACTTGAACTACTATTGTATCTTTTGGTTTGTCTGGAGCTTGACTAGAATGATTCTATCGTCATATTCTATATAGCCTTTAACTTTTTTTTAAGGGTTTTATTCATTATAATCCCTACTCCTCCTGTGCCAGGTTTCTTCTCTGATGCACCTGTATATATTATTCTATGGTCTCCGCTCCAAAAGTCTCCTGACTTTGGCCATCTCATTCCTGATATTCCAAGAATATCGATTTTCATCTTGTCCATTTCTATTTTCAGAGTCACCAATTTCCCACATTGTAATCAAGTCCTTACATTCCAAATTGCTAATCGTTTATATTCCTTCACATCCTTAATACTTCTTACCTCTCTTGTAGTCCCCACCCGGAGATCTGAACGGGGTACTATTTTACCTCCGGAATTTTTTACTTGAGAAGAAGACATATTGATTGCTGTTACTTGGGATATTAATACGGTGGTTTCCCGTTGCCTTCCGTATCACAGTGCAGCCATCAGTTATACAGTTTCCCGTATCTGATGGCTGCTGCCTGGCGTATAGCTGATGAAACTACACCCAAAATTGTAGTAGCTGCTGCCCTACTACAAGTCCCTTTTAGTCGCCTTTTACGACAGGCAGGAACAACCGATGGTCTATTCTAACACCGAACAACAGGGGATCTTTACACAACTAGCAAGTCTATTTTCTAATAAAATACTAATAATAAATTTTTTTCAATTTTTTAATTCTTTTAGAAATTTTAAAATAACCATTTAGCTTTTTTAGCCATTTTTTTTAGAAAATTATCTGATAGTTCAACAATATCTTTAGGATAAATACTTTTTGAATTACAAGAATTTTAATACATGGAGTGGATATACAACGCGGTTAGAGTACACACATCCCCATTATATGTATAAAAAATCTTGTAACTCTAATAAAAAAAAAATACATTTAACTCGCTATAAAAATATTGTTACTGACTATCTAAAATACTTAAATGTCAAAATAACTCTTGAAATTTACCCCTTACCAAACAAGCACTCCAAAAAGAAAATGGAAGTGATATTTCCATGATCTTGAGTAACATAGGTTAGTAATTAGTTGTAAAAAAAAAACTAATTTATATAATTATTTATAATAATTGTTAGTAATAATTCTAATATTTATTAGAAATAATTTAAGCTAAATATTTTATATATTTAAATAATTTATTATAGAGTTCATCTTTGGAGTGATAGATAACAGGTCATTTTTTTAATGTATTAAAAAAGATAACTTTTATCATCGAGGTTAATATATGTTAAGTTTCCACCGGAGTTTTAGATTTTTTAATGAAAAATTATATTTTCTTAAGGTACTAATAACCATGTTTATTAACACACATGACAGGTTAATTACCCTGTCATCTACTAATACTAGTATTACAACTGCAATATAATATTTTGTTATTGGTGCCACGGACTTTCTTTTTCATTAATAACAATTTAAAAAATATATATATCATTATATAATTAGAGATTATAAATATATAAATAAAATTATATTAAAATAAAATTGTTTATAGCTTCGATGTAAAGATGAGAAGGTATTCATTTTATTATGTTTTTTTTTTTATATGTCGCCACTTTTACTGAGCTCCTATTAGACCAATTTCTTTACTGATATGACAAAAGATCAAGAATTGTATCTAATTGAAGACATAATCTCAAATTTTGATAAAATTTCCCTAGTTTTTTGTAAATTAAGGAATTCCCTAAACAAAATTATGATTTTTAGATTAGTATTTTTTTACATTTTTTAAACTTGTATTAAATAAACGCGATAAATTTTTGAAAAATGAATGAATGAAAACGATTTTTTTTTAATTATATTATATAAATTTATTTTATTAAAAATATATATTTTTTTTAAATCAGATTTAAATTAAATTAAAGGTTTTAAGACTTCTCTTCTTGATGTATACAAACATTTAATAAATTTTAAGAAAAAAAGTACCACTTTTATGTAAAAACCACAAAATAATGAATAATTGGAAGTATTCTTGTACAAAACAATTTTTAAAAGAGTTTTTAAATATTATTGTCATTCCATAGACGTATTATAAATTGGAATTGGAGAAAAATCCTCACTCATACAAAAATATTTATTTCAAACTTTATTGTTCACAATCACTATGTCATGTACTTACCTTTCTGAGATTTTTTTTGTAAAAATAAAATACTTCATAGAAAATTAAACAAACTCAAAAAGATTTCATTAGTAGAATAATTAATTATTTTTAAACAAGTAAAATTAGGAAAACAATTTATCAAACCAACAATTATTATTCAGTATTTTATTTTAATATGTATTCAACGAATTCCTACAAATGAGAATAATAGCAATTAATAAGTTCGAAATCATATAACAAAATTTACCTATCATAAAATTGTGTTCTTGTTACAAAACTCCTTAGGATACTTTAGAAAAAGTAAATATTTCATCATAATTATACTGCCGCATTGAATATGAATATGTAGTTTCATAAATTGCTTTAAATTTATCACTAGAAATTTATTTGAACAAAGTTCATAGGTATCACCCCTTTAAACACTTATAGACACTTTTCTTTGCGTGGGAATTGTTTTTACTGAAAGATAATTTGATTTATCAATTATGTACCCCATAGAGTGAGTAATTGCGCTAAAAAAATTTTGAGTCGTACAGTAGACTACGTTTACATGCAAACGTAGTGATATCGTATTATAATTATGTATAGTGGGGAGACATCACGCACTGGTGGTATACGCTACCGGCGGCATCGAGACTGGTTTCCCACTCATGTGACTATCCATCGGTTGTGCCGTACGCGCGTTTGTTACGTGTATTTAGTGCCAGTGCGACTTTTTAAATTTTTTTTTGTTCCTAACGAATTGTTCTTATTAAGAAATTTGAAATTGCTACGGACGAGCGTTGAAGTGCGTCGCTTTGAGCAAGCGAAAGCGGTTTAGTGTACGTTTGAAACAATGTAGTGGATTATTTTCTAAACTGTTTTTTTGCCCACAAACGTCTTGCTATTATCAAGAGGACTACTACCCGGCTGATTCCCACGGTAAGCGCTCAACATAAAAAAACGTTTCACCAAAGGGTTGCCGCGTGGCAAGCTAGCCCGCATATCAAAAAATCATATAAAAATTATTCATTTTTAAAGCGTTTTTTTTTTTTTTGAATTTTATTTTATCTACTAACAAACCCGCATGGACATCAAGTCTAATGTTGAACATAAAATAATAATTTTTTTTCTTAGACTTTTTGTTTACTATGGCAAAATGATGAGGACTAGCATGTCACAACTGCTTAGTTCTTAGCCTCCAGCGAGTAAAAACCTACAATTAATACGTTACATAAAAAGTTCAATAATAGAAATATTAAAATTGTTTTCAACGTGCACGTAAAAAACGATGGCCGTCTTAGTTATTTGGTATATTATAATTAATATTAGTGTACGCGAATAGTCGTAATAATTATAATGTTATTCAAATAAATATATTCGTAACACTTGTGTGAAGTCGGAAAAAAAAAACTACTGCAGTCAGCCGGTGGCCGCACATATGTGCACTGTATTTATTGCGATTTTATCCCACGTTCTTCATTGAGTTATTTGACACACAACAATCGTGGGCTCCCCACCAGACCACCTTATCGACTTTTTGTCGGTTTCGATTTTAAGTGTTCACTGCAATAAATCGTAACATTGATAAAAAACAAAATTATTAAAATATTTTCAATTGGTTTAAAAAGATCGAACGCGAAGGGCTGTTTGTTTTTAATGTCGTCATGCGGTTTACTTTATTGTTTTTTTACAAAGGAATTCATTAACAAAAAACTAACGCCAAACGACCGACTTAGTTGTAATTTCTTTTTAATGTTCTTTTTTAACAATATAATATGCGCTCGTTGACGGTTTTATTCTTTTAGTAATATAATTTCTTTTTTTCATTAAGTTATATGACTTTTTTTGTTTTTGAACATGTTCATCGGTCGTGGCACTCGATTTTTAAGAGAATCTCTTTGTCTCGGATCATTTACATAATAAATCGTTTAGTTTTTTTGAAGATTTGTTTTTGTATTGGACCTACCTCCCTGCGTGTGGTTCTAAAACGATTTTCATAAATTTTTAACCGCCATAAATTATAGTACTATTCCTTGTCCATTCATCCCGCGACAGTCGTATTTCGTTGTCTATTTGGGAAAATGAGATCAAAGTGAATTTTTATAATATTTTGGTTGAAAAAATATTCTTTGATTCGTAGTAATAGTGTCGTAACAACTAAAATATATATATATGTATCCAAAAGTACTAATAAATGTAAAGTAATAGTATACAAAAGTTTATCAAAGTAATTAGACGTTTTAATGTACGTTAAATTAACTCATCGTCTTTGCCCATATTTACAGCGATTTTATAATGGCTCGTCTTATTTATTATTCCATCGTTAACTTGGTTGAAAAAGAAGTCCAGCGCATCGAACCGCATCGACAAACGTGTATAATGAATGCTGAATACTAACTTAAAAGCATATTATTTAATACGGGTGTTCAGATTTTGTATGCGTTTTTAATTACCTTGACTTCATAGTAGAAATCTTAGACTTTGACAGAGAAATGGGCAAAGCCTGACACTATTAAGCTAGTATATAGTTGTGTTATCCTTGATTGTACTGAATATCGTAAAGAATGAGGTTAATAAAAAAGTATTTCCATTATTGTTTGAATAGGAACTGCGCCGATAAATTCAAACGGGTTAAAATCACTGTAATAATATTTCAAATAAATATATTATACGCTAACCCTATGTGATTTCTAAGAATAAGAGTAAATACAAGTAGTCAGTCAGGTAACCGTAGACCGGAATCACAATAACATTGGGAATTTGACTCGTTGCGTTAACCTTTTCCTTTTATTTGACTATTTATTTTTTTGTTATTATAATTTTTTTTCGGTCAGACATTGCCGTGATACACAAAAACGACACGTGGCTTCTCAGCAATGGTAATATTATTGTGTGCTCGTCGATTGTACACTGTATTATTGTATCGTTTGTTCCTCTCCCTTCCTCGCTGTTCAACTAAAAAAAAATGATTTTGACAAAAAACACTAGTGCGTTTTGTTGGTTCGTCATCGCCTATGTAAACGAAGTGTAACTAGGTTTTTTTCTCTTATCCCACAACTCGAGATAAATGTTGAGAGAGATTCCAAACAATAATAATTACCAACACTCGACGCCAGCTGTCGGCATTTCTGTAAACTAACAGTGACATTCTCATTTATTTCTATTTTATGTTCAAACTAATTTTTCCGAAACTTTTTTTTCTTACAACAATATTTTCGTTTTATATTTGTTTTTTGACATTTTCTCTTGCTAGTATATAAAAATAGACTTTCCAAAGTTGTTTTTATAATTTTTTTAATGTCTGTTTTTATTATAAATCTAAGATTGACACAGAAACGTTGTCTAAATGCTACTTAACTTGTGCTATTGTAATTATTTGACAACAATTAGTTTTGTTTTTAGCTGGTTCGAAATCGTTTTATTTTTAAATAGCTATTACAATTTTGTGCGTTCTACAAAATTATACAGAGTGTCCAAAAAATAATGAAACAGATCAATTGTTACAAACAATACAAACCCTTTTCCTTTCTTACTGTACACTCTATGTGATTTATTAAGCAAATTGAATATAAAAGATGAATTATTAAATTGTGTTGTTAATTTCTTTTTACTCGTTTAATTGCACAAAACTTAAATTAAAATAATACAATTTTAATACAAAATAAGCGAAAAATGTTGGTATTTTTTGAATAGTAATAGTTAACAAAACTCAAAAATTCAATGTGTATCAAACGATATTTTTAATTACTTAATAGAAATTTTCAAAACAAATGATAATTCAAAAATTAGATTTTTTATTCAGAATAGTTTGGAATCACTTTAATAAATATTCAAAAACAAAATAATTTAGATTACTCACCAATTACTTGTGGTATGATAAGTGTATAAACTTTATAATTATTTCATTATATTATTTTTCATAACAGTAATTTAATGTTAAAAAAAAAACATTAAATGATTGTGTAAATGAAATAATAATTACAGTGAAGTTATAAACCTTGGTATTTCATTGACCCTTTTCTTGCCATTCAGCAACTGAACTTCATAGTGAAAGTTTATCACATCATAATTTTTATAAAAATAATGTATTGAATAACATTTGTACTTCAAAAGACATGATTACTGTACAAATTGTTGAATTTGAGGAAACGGTTTTTTATTCAAATTGTTTTTGTGTATTCTTTTGAGCTGAATAATACAAATTAAGAAATTAATTTACAATGTGCAAGAAATATTTTAGTCGTTTATCTTTGAAAGAGAACTAATTTTAACAATTGAATTTACTTAGGTTCATGCTTCAATGGTTTCAAGAGCCAGTGGACGTTAGAAGAATTTTTTATATTAGAAACAAATAAAACAGTAGAATAGTAATAATATTTGGTATCCTAAACTATAAAACTGTTATCTGTAAGATGCGATTTTTACTGACGTCACCGTTACATGTTTTGTTGAGGTCTTATGTAGATAGATTATAACCTTTCACGACTGGTAAAACTAGCTCTCCATGACAGAGCGTTGCCTACCTAAGTAGTATTCACATAGCTGTGTTACTGTATCATCAGTATTCATTCATCTCCGAATACAAATCGCGATGGCAATATAACGTATAAGATTATTAATAATGTTATTGATTGTACATAGCCATAATTATAGATGTGCTGGAAAGGGTGATCGTGTACGTTCGTTATTCGCGTTGTGCGCGTACTTATAATTTACTCTCAGTTTTATTTCGGGTGTAGATTCAAACTTGTGGAATAGATTGATGAGCGGAACAAACTAATTTCGGTCGAGTTATATTTTTAGTAAGCTCGGGTAGACACACAAATCGAATAGACGATTCATAATTTTCCGTTTCCTTCCGGCACAGGACGCGTACTTCATACAGTTTTTTTGGTTTTCTTCCAACCTATTATTGTATTCTGTTATTTGTATACATTTCCTGTGCGTCCGTACCTTTACACTCTCGTCGAGAGGGTTGACGTGCGCTGGGACACTTCTAGTGCGTTTCTGCCGTGAAAATACCACTGTCACTTCGAGGTAAACACAACAAATGTAGTATTAGGCCACTGTGGTAGACACGTGCGGTGTTAGCGCGTTGGAAAAAAACACACGTGTCTTTCGTTTACGGTTTGTTATACCGGCGGTGCTGTGGGCCGCGATGTGCCGGCGAGTCAGCCGGCCGGCAGATGTGACGAAAGAAGAGAATAAAGTCCCGCCAAAAATCATCGGCCCCGTGTATGTACAAGGATTGTAAAAGAAGTGTAGAACAAAGAGAGTTTTTAATTGTATACACACGCGATTCCCGGAACGAGAATCGGTAAATATTTTCTAGATCAGTCAACCGCTGAAAACCTCCACGTGCGACTTTACAAAACGCACTAGCCTATCAATTATTTACTTCGTATAGTAATTAATTATATTAATCTATCGATGAAAATATGCGGGTCTAATCACATCAATGGGTCCAAAAATAATTATTATGACTCTCCTCGTGTAAACATGAGACGTAGTTTCGGATTGTGAACATGTGTTTTTGCGTCAGTGTGCATTTGTTTTTATGGTTTTCGGTTAAAACAAAAACAAGAGTTCAAAAGGATACTGTGAACCACATCTGCTTTTTTAAAAACACTGTCCTACTTTAAATTACAAATGAAATATTTAAAATTTCATTGTCAAACGTCAACTATTATTTATGTTTCCAGACCGCCGTTTATCTTTTTGATCAGTGATTCGCAAACCGAATTGTCTGCTAAAATTATTGCGGCTTATTCATAGCAATTAATATTTACTTAATCTCCTATGATTTTAATTTAAAACGTTCATTTTTTTTCCTTTTTGTAGCTTTATTGAAGAAGACTAACTGTTATTCGATTTGTAAGCTGCTAGTACTTCTAGCTGTGGTATTGAAATATAATACACGTTATTAAGTGCGATGCCAC